CGTACCCACTTATCCATTCCCTAGTCCGAACAATTTCGTGTGTAACAAAAAGCATATATTTTAGTTAGTTTATCTCAACCATCAGGTGCTAACGTGGAATAATCTCATGATTGAACTACTCTAGTATCATGCTATTATCTTGCTATTATCTCGCCCTTCGGGCTTTCGTGCGGGGTTTTCCCGACCAGCGTACCCACCTATTTATCCCGTGTCCGAACATTCCTTTTGCGTGGTGAAAGTACAGTATAACCAATTTTTCGCGGGGAATGTCAAAGGTGATACTTTATGCTAACATTATAACCTCTAAGTTATAGTAAGCTCTGACCTATGACTATGTTAATTTAAAAATACCTGCCAAAAGCGCAACGGCTTTTGGTAGATCTAGAGAGATTGTTCATTGTCTAATTTTGATATGCAACCAATCTAACGAAACTAAATCTTAATTCAACCTTTTTCTTATCTCTTAACCTTAGCGTTGTTACCTTAGTCTTTTTAGTTAGTCTTAAATAAAAGCCTACAACTAATTGTAGGAATCTTAACCCGATCTGTCTTAAATTAGTCTTAGTTCAAGTCCAACCATTAACAACCTATAGACGGTTTATCTTAAGTTTTTAACAGGACATGTCTTTTCCATTATCATATGTTTAACTTCGGGTTTCATTATCTCGCCGTGTGTAAGTTTCTCAACATATTGTTTAACGAAAGAACTTTTGCACGTTTAAGCCATATCGTATTTTGCAATAATTACGTTTTTTTCGACTTTCCAGCGTGAATGCAGTGTTTTTATTCGTGAATTTTAATGTTAGCAACCCAAAAGAGGGATGCTGCCAAGGCTTTCCTAGGAATTGCAAATTGGGCCTCCAATTTTGAATATTCAAATCTTTTAGTTCACGAGCTACAAAGATTCTGTGATTTTTTTTGAAAGTTTCTGAAAACTTAAATTGGAAAAATTCCACAAAATTTAAAATTCGCAAGCCTGTAATTGGGTGCTGTCAGGGTACTCCCAAAGAAGGCTAATCTTGCCTCAAATTATTACTGTTCTTATCCTTTTTGTTTGCGAGATAGATTCATAGAACTTATTTAAAGAAAAATATTTAATTTCTCAGCTCTAGGGTGTGAGTTGCTGTCTGGGTACTTTCGACGTTGCAAATTGTGACTCCAAATATGACTGCTGAAACCGTTTAGTTCTGAGATATGACGTTTTTTAATTTAGCAAAAAGTCAAAGAAATTATACTTAACTTTAACAACAATTGAAACTATTAACCATGTAATTGGATGCTTTCATGGTACTCTCAAGGGTTCCAAAACTTGCTTCAAAATATGACTGCTTAAGTGCTTTTAGTTTCCTGGGTAGACGTTTTTTGATATATATTTTTTTAAATTTTCAAGTAGTTCGGATCTAAAAAGTCTAAGAAGTTGCAATTCTCAACTCTGTAGTGTGATTTGCTCTCAGGGTACTCTCAGGGATTGCAAATCTTGCCTCCAAAGGTGTCAGCTCAAGGTCTTTTTAACATATGATGTTTTTTTAGTTTGTTTTCAAACTTTTGGGCTGCACATCATGCCTCCAAGTTTGATTGCTCAAACTATCTTAGTTTTTGATATATGTCATTTTTTATGTTTTTTTTTTCATTTTTCTAAAAACCTAAGATCTAAAATTGTTTCGAAATAATCAACACTATGGCAAGTGCTTTCAAGGTACTGGCGAATGCTTTCAGGATGTTTATCTGTTCTCCAATTATGACTGCACAACGCTTTTTGCTTTCTTACTCATGACGGTTTTATCTTCTTTATTGAGAGTTTTCTAAAGTGTTTTTCTTATCAAATAAATACTTTTCAAATTTTGAAGTTGTCGACCCCAGGTTACTACCAGCAGATGTATATGTGAACTCTCATCCTAATATCATCGCTCATTTTTTTTCGTTGAGTTTGAGTTAAGTTTAGAAAAAATAGTCTGATATTTTAAAATTAATTACGCTGGTTTATGAATCTTATTAATGAATTTGATGATTTTGCAATTGAAATAGTTTCATTTTTTTAAATATCGAATTTGCCATTTTATGGAGTCGGCCATTTTGGGGTTTTATTTACGAAAATCTGAAACCCAGTAGTTTTGGAGTTTTGACCTTTTTCTTTTGGAAAACCTTCAAGTCGAAAATATTTTTCGTTCAAATTTTGAAATCAAAAGCGTTGTTGGTCTTTTTGTTATGGTTGCTGTCATTTTGCTATTTTTCCCATACATTCTAGGTATAAGCAGCTTTCATGTTCACTAATCTGTTTGAAACACCTGAGGTGCGTTACACGATAAATTTTCTGAAAACAAAACTCATAAAAATCTACTTTTTATTTCCTTGCTTTAATTTTTTTGTTTCTTTTTTACGCTTGCGATTAGGAAGTGTTATCAAATCGGAATATAGGCTTTTTTGGTTGACAACTAGCTTAACAAAATCAAGAATCACTTGCTCAGCTTACTGTATTGTTATATCAAGCTCGTAGTATCAGTTTCGCCCATTTAGCGTGGAGGTAACGTTCATGCTTGGGAAACTCAGGTCATGGGCTGAATCCGATCTGGACCTGTTTTTTGGAAGTCTAAAAATTTCCGCGTGACAAAATATTTGTCTGTCTATTGTTTGTCTGCTTAATTTCCACAAGCGCGGAATTTGCCTATGGTTTAAGCGTCTTTCACTATCATTCAAAACTCTTTCAATCCGGCTATGTTGCTAGTAATTTTGTTCCCAGAAATTTTGCTGAAGTTTTTTTGGAATATATGATTTCGTAAAAACGTATGTTTTTTTCATTATATGATTTTTTTTGAAGTTTTTTCGAATTAATACAAGCATTTCTTTGGGCTTCGACAAACTTAATGATTGGCACCATGTAGTAAATTGCCTTAACTGAATTTTTAATTTTTTTCTGGTTATAAGCATTTAGAAATTTTACGAATGCCAGTATTACAGCGTAAAAAAATCGGATGTCCTCTTTTTTCACATGTGTCATCCGCCTGTTCTGATTTTGTCAAGTGGGCTTTTATGAATCATATGTAAGAGAATGACTATCGTACTCGCTTTTGTTAATAGGTTAAGTTTTAGAAAAATATGAAATATGTCGCTGATTTTTTGTCATTGTGACAAATATTCTTGACGTTTTGTCGCTCGCGTTTGCGAAGTGAGGCTTTGCCTCTGCCGCAATATATTGAAAATTAGCAACTTAAATTCGTTTTTGAATAAGTTTAGTTTTTGTGATAAGACGAATACTGATAATCATTTCTCTGAACATAGTTCTATTCCTACCAGCTAGCCGTAAACTTTTGTTAAAGCAGCTTACTGTCTCCAATGCTTCTCTGCTTTCCGGGCAGCATGTTGAATCCTTAAAGATAACTGTAAAGACTTCTTCATCACGGCAGCTACTTGAAATTTGTAATTTGAATTGCCGCGGCGGCTGCTACAATCTTAATTAGCGATTCCATAATCTTAATGTACTTATAATTCGCTATTTATTTTTACAAGAAATTCTGTCTAACGTCTAAGAGGGGAAGGAATTACATTTGAGGAGTCCCATAAACATTTAAGTTAGATTGGGTGTGATATCATATGAACAAACATTAATGTAGTGACTGAAAGTGCATGCGTTACCGGAAAGTATCATATAAACATGAAAATTTTCTTGAAATTCAAAGAAAGTTATTTGATTTTTCTCCGAAATTCGAAAGTTTTAATTGTTCTGACCATTGAAAATGAAGAGGAAATTTCAGTTTTTTCCACGCAAATCAAGTGTCTCAAATATTCATCAGAATAGATTAAGTGAGAATTAGTTTGGAAACCCTCTCAGTCGTGATTCGAACATGTGAAAAATTCCAAAAAGTTTTCAGAATGTCGCGAAAAATTGTTTGGAAGTTACTAATTGATAATCTAAGTTAGAGCGAATACAGCGAGCGAGTCGACCTATAATGGGCCTCTTCTTATACTTTAAGGTAAAACGTATAATTTTATTTCACTCTAGCAAAATTAATTTTTGAAGTTTTTTCTAGCGCCTTCTTAGGAATAATATATTTCGCACATTTTTGAGTTAGTCGAAATGCGTCGGGAAAAAAAATTTCGCACTTGTTACAAATCACTTCTTCTCAGGTGTGAGCGGAACAATAATTGCGTAATTAACGTTTGAAGCAGTACTAAAAAAACTTTAAACTGATAACAGTGTTGTTGTGATGGTCAGTCTGTTTAATTTAACCCATAAATTGAGTACATCAGGTTTTTAAAAAGTTAAACGAGAGTCAAAATAAGTCTGTAGACTATATTTTTTCTTTAACTTTGCAGCCTTTTGTGTCAATTTACCTACGTGTTTGCTATCAGGACTCATTATAAAGTATCGAAAATTCTTTCCGCCTTTTAGATTTTTTAATTTTAGTTTCGCACACAGAGAAATCAACAACTCTTCACATTGAACACATTTTGATAAAAACTTTCAAAAAGACCCAATTTTTGTATCAAAAACTTGCATTTGATATGATTTCTTACAACTCAAATACGTAGTATTGATTGCAATGACTTAAATTTTGATTGACATCAGTATCCTGTTTGATCATCGTGTTTCTCCTCTGGATTTGCATGATTAAAGGTCGGTCAGCGCAAAAGCCGAGCATGAAACGGAAAAGCAAGCAGCAGGATCATAGTTTTTTCTAAATGAACTTTTCCCAAGTTCAGTGCCAGTTAGATCTGGAAGTCAATTCTTACAAGTCATTGCTACTGAAAAAAGGCGACTGAAAACGTAGCAGAAACGAGGAATAGATATTGCGATGGAAAAGTTCCGCATATTTCCCAGTCCCCCCTGTAGGTGGGTTGGAAAAATGGAAAAGAGCCAAAATTCTGTAAGGCCATTTCCCTTTTTTCTTAATGCACACAATCAACAACATGACTTCCTTACTATCATTCATTCCTCTGAATCAGAAAAATATCTGTAAAAGTGAGCGTAAACAACTGCAACTTGACGATTACCCTACTATTCCAGGTATTTATGTCATGGCTACCGAACCTCACAGGGAGCAAACGAACTCCCCCTCCCAAGGACCCCTCCTCCTCCAGCCCATCCACAGAAGAAGAGAAGGCCAAGATGATGAGGGAAGCTGCTGATGCACTGCAACAGGTACATATGGACATGAAAATTTCTGAAAGGTGTTGAAACTATATTGCTAAAAGCATGTATGTAGTGAAGTAAACAAGAGTTTTGGGTTTTTCTCATTTAGCCCCCCTTCCCTTTCTCCCCCTAGCGCCCTAGTCTACCCTTGGAAAAAAAAATACAGACCCCAAGAAGTAATTATTCGCGTTGAACGGTGTATAGTTTACTTAAGAACTATTTGTACTTGAATGAACCGAATGGGGATTGAAACTGTTGTAAAACTTTTAATTTGAACGATAACTTCATGGCGAATTTGTACTGCGTTTTACTGGGAGATATATCCGACAGCCAGCAAAAATTTTGCAAATGTGTTTCCTGAAAAACGAATCAACAGGTGAAACATGCCGCTCTTCAGTTATTCTGCGAAGTAATTACGAATCGTACTTAATTATTACCGTCTGCTAAGCTTTTTGATTGGCTTTTTTAAATGTCAGTGAATAGACTTTTCTTAATCAATAAAATTTGAGACGTTGTGGTGTATCCCGTAGTGATATTGCCTAGCAATTACAAGGTTATGAGTTCAAATCGCACGTGCGCTGAACTTTGCAAGGTTCAAAGGTCATCATAAAAACTAGAAATGTTCTCCAATAATTAAAATTTTTTCACTGATGACGAGAAATGTTGATTTTTTTTCTATAAAGAACAGATTTTTCTCCATAAGTTCACTTTGGTTATTTGATGTAGGCTAAGGATGCGAAGAAAAGTTACCAGGCATTCGACCCTACTGGGCTGGAGAGGGCGTCCAAGGCAATCAAAGAGCTAAACCAGTCGCGTAAGTTGTGCAAGTTATTTGGCTCATTTGCAATATCGAACCAAGGCAGTTTGAGTGTTGAAGTGAAGGTAATGGACTATGACATAGGGTGTCTTTTTTCAGCCCGATTTTGACTGCCTCAAAGAAAGCCCCTAGGAGTGAAGTGTGGCATTAAATTCAATCCTTCTCAACCGTCATCAGATCCCAAAAAATACTCAAAGTTGTCTCCGTGTCGAGAAAAATTGGGCTGAAGTTTTTCGTTTTTCAGACTAATTTCCTGGCTGTATTCGCTATCTAATTCTGGAATTTTTTAAAAGCTATTTTGACAATGATTGTGGTTGGTTTTCGAATTCAGTCCCTATCACTAGGTGAAAAATTAAACAAAGAAATTAAAAAAAAACCAAAAACAAAATTTGAAAACTTTCAATTTTTTCTTTTTAAATTTTCGTCATAAAAATATACATGATCAGAAAATTCTATGCAAAACTATTAGTAGCCTGCAATCCTTGTTTTTCCACCATTTAATTTTTTCTGCAATTGTGTATCGAGGATTTTTTCAAGATTGGGAGGTTTTTCGAAACGTTTTGTCGACGTATTGTTTTGGATAGACCTAATTTCTTTCTGGGCTCTCCAAAAACCTTAAAAAGACCCTATTCTGCAAACAGTTTTTGCGCCATTATATTGAGTGGACCTTAAAAAGACCCTTTTCTGCAAAAAGTTTTTGCGCCTATATTTTGATCGGAGTGATAACTGTGATTTTCAGCCAATGCGAACAAAGCACTTGACCTGGCACGTGACCAAGAGAGGACTGAGCAGCTGAAGATAGAGGAGTGCATCGGAAGGGCGAAGGCGATGGAGGAGGAGTGGAGGGCGAACACTGCCAGAGTGCAGGGGGAGGAGAGGAGGCTCAATATTCAGGAGGAGGCCAAGTACCACAGGGAGAAGTCCAATTATGAAGACCAACTTGCGAGGAAGAGGTACTGCTTCTGAACTTAATTTTGAACATAGAGAAGTTGGTGATAATTGTTAGGCCAATTTCGAAGACTAACTTCATTGGAGGCGCTAGGCTTGCTGTCTTTATTCCTTTCCTCTCTCTCTCTCTCTCTCACTCTCACGAAGGCCAACTTCGTGGTTACTAACGTGTTAAGAAAGGGTAGTTTTTTATGGTCGATCGAGTTTTTTAAGTTGAGTAAATTACAATTCTTAATTTTAGTCTAGTTTAAAAGTTGTTTTGGACAATCTTGATTGGTTTTGCTATTTTTCCAAGCGAGCTTTCTTGAGTAATGTTAAACAATCAGCTTACTTCTTTTTTTCAAAATAAATAGAAGTTAAAACTTTTAATTATAGTTAGCGAGAAGCAAGCGATATCAAATCGAAAAGTAGTTTAGCAGAATCACTGATTTATTCGATGGCTTGATAATATATAATTATTTTAAAGTGATCTTAGAATGAACAGGTCAATTTTATGTGATCTTTTTTCCCTTGTTCACAATTCGCCAGAAAGCAATGAATGGACCCTTGATTTAATTGTTGACACTTGCCATAACTAAATCGTTTGAAATCTTGTTTTCATACGACAACATTTTCAAAAATAACACTATTTTCCCCATTTTTATCGAATGATTTTTTCGACTGGTTTGAGTTTCCTATCTTTCTTTTTGTGCATCATTGGCATACAAGAGTTTCACCGTTATTTAGAGCTTTTTGCTGTTGCTCATAAACCATTTGCATATCCACTTTTTTTACATATACTTGTGGAATTACTACAATGCTGAAAGATGCCTTTAATTTGGGGCTTGGTCTTTAATCAGGCAGGTTTTTAGCAGACCGCTATTTTAGCAGACTCAATACAATTAAACAGTCAGACTTCAAACGCGGCATTGGCAAGTAGAATACGCTTGCTCCGCTTCGCTTACATCCAGTACGAGAGGAATACTGCCCGTTAAACTAGTTTGCTTTGCTTAGAACTTGTTGACAAACCGTGATATAATTGTCTTAATTAGGGAAGCTCAATTTCACTCAATCAATTCTGCGTTAATTTTTGCTGCCTTCACCAAGTTGTTGCTCAAAATCTGCAGAAAAGACCTAAATTTCACTTTTTATGCTAAGAAACCGGTCTGTCAAAAAACCGGTCGCCCTTCAGCTTGTACTTATCCTTATAATACCCCTAATTACAAAACGAGCGTTGTGTTATATTACAGATCCATTTTTTGCACTACAAGTCGCATAAAATAGTGTCCTTGTCCTTTTTGGGAAACACCTTTGCTGCCTAGTATTGGCAGTTTAATAGCATGTAATCTGCGCTTCAGGAGTGACTACTGTTTTAGTTCATCTCAGATGCTCGAGGCTTCTGGTTCGAGTCCCGTACATGGCATTCATTTTTCAAAAATCTTTGAAATTTTTATTTCCTTGCCCTTATTAAAAAGTCAATAAAGCTACTGCCGTACTAATTGTGGCCTGAGTAACAGTGGTACGCAATGTGTCTAATTGTTTTTTCATCTTTCTGATTCGGCTTTCGTCAGTTTGGTTTTCGTTTTGAGCGAAATCGCAATAATTGTCTCAAGTGTCTGTCTTATCTACAAGTTCGTTACCTAGAAGTACCTCAAATTAGAAAATTAAGTATAATTTTGGACCATGAACTTAGAGGTAACACACCTGAGACTACTATATAATTTCATTACTTTTTTTCTCACTTTGAGTCGCATATTTGTTTGCCTATTATATTCAGACTCCAAAACAAATTGAACTTTTGCACATAGCGGATGGCGGAGTTTCCCATTTCGACACTTTTAAAAGCATACGCTCTTTTAAGTACTTAAATTCCAGCTTGTTTTTTTTTGTCAACGCAAATTTAATGATTGACGCTTGAAAGGTCTAGTGGTTACGTCTATTTATTTTGTAATGAGTCCGAGTATTTGGGGAGATAGAGCATTTCTTTGATGCGTTCAAAAGCATGCATTGAAAGGAGCAATAATGATCCTCCTAAAGTTAAGCGTCGTTTCTAAGTGTCAAATAACGCAATGAAGACGTTTATACAGGTTGTGATGATTTTCATTTACAAAACTCTTAATACCAACTAGCACTAATTTTAGATAACTGATTATTACGCATGCGATTAGCAAGCGTTATCAAATCGGAGTATAATTTTTTTTCGGGTTCACAACTTGTTCCAAAAATAAACAATTGAATCATTGTCATTTGTGCAGCTGTGCTGATGACGTGCTCAATTTCTTGAAAATTTAAGTTTAATCACTGGAACTAGTTGCTACTGGTAAATGATAAATAAAAACTTAACAATGGCATAAATATTTATAGCATTGCCGTTCTATTTTTCTGCTGATGATTTTCGGCTTCATGGTTGTTGACTTAAGTTCTTTCAGTTTAGTTTCCGAATTGTGTATACCACATTAAACAAATTACTAATTTAGCATTTATGGATTCTATGTGGGAGTTAGGTGCACTTTTTTCAATAAGATTTTTGCCGAAAGATTTTGGTCGATTTTCGGCTTATTGGGCGTCGGCTTTAGTTCTGTCGGCTTATTTGCCTATTTTTTCTCGAAAGTTTCTTTGAAATTGACTATTTAATAATTTTTTATGCTTAAAGTCAACCCAACAAGAATCTTTTTTAAAAATTTCAAACTAAATTAAAACAAGAAAAAATCTTTTGATTTCAATTTTTTCGTCCTTCTAGTTCCTTCTTTAATTGTAAATTATTTTGAAATCCTCTTTGCTACTTCTTGGACGCCAGGTCGTTTTCATATTTTTTGTTGCAGAAAATCGAAATAATGAGATTTAACGCCATTTTTTAAATATTTGTCGACATTTTTTTTTAAATTTTTGCTTTTTAGCCTATAGTGTAGAACAATAAGTAAAAATTCAAATTCAAAGATCGTTTTGCTCATTTACTGCAGTGGTAGTAACCTAGCATAAGAAGACAAAGGTTAAGTGCTCGATTCCAGTCGGGACCTGGTTTTTTCGCAAACTGAAAATGTTGGACCATCGTCCGTCGGTTTTTTTTGTCGGCTTAGTTTCCAGAACAGAGTTTTTAGAATTTCGGCTTTTTTTAATAATCCGAATACTCTATGTAAAGTTTCTAACGGTGCTTGAAATTTAGTTTCAATTTTTTCGGATTTATTCAGCAATTTTATAATATATTAGGTTATTTTTTAGTATTTGATTTAAGGTTGTCCGTGATTATGGTTATTCCATTTTGTATCTTAGCCTCTTTGTTATTTGTATGATATGATTCCTAAGGGTATAGCTTAATGCATTTTTGTATGTCCACTGAAAATATATCCTGAAAAACAGCTTAAAAACAACTTCGGTTTTCAGTTTCAAACTGTTGTTTATAATATTTTGTGTTTATTATTGTTCCGTCCAGATATGAGGACCAGTTGGCGGCTCAGAGACAGAGTCAAGATGAGATCCTGAGGCGACAGGAGGAATCTGCTAAACGACAAGAGGAACTCAGAAGATGTGAGTCACCTTCAGATTCAAACAGATCTGATTCATTCCTATAAATGCCCCGGCTGCCCCCCCCCCCCCCCCAATTTGTGTTGTTTTTTGCTATAAAATTAGTGAAGAGCTAATATTAATTCCTAATTTTGAGGGGCGGGGCAGGATTTTGTTGTTGTTGGTATTTTGCTTCATCATAATTGGAAATATACACCGAGTTTGTGTGGCGAAAGCTATATTTTTTTGGGTACCATTAAACATCCGATATGTCAAACATCCGAAAAACCAAAAAGTGCTGGAAACATCCGAAAAACAGCTTTACTGGGTCAAACAGCCGACATTTTTCAAAAATTAGGGCAAAGGTCCGATTTTCGTTAAACAAATGCTATACTGGTCGATTGAAGGCGGATCGCCGCGGTCGTGCCAACGTGTTGCGAGCTTGCCAACAGAGGGTAACTCTCTACATGAAAATTAAAGCCGGTTATCGCCGCAAAGCGGCGACGCGCGCCCACTAGTGACCTTAAACCGAGAGTCGGTTAAGTTGAAATCAGATAATTGAACAGTGTCTTGTCTTTGAAAATCTAACGTCATATTATTACATAATTATTATATAAGTTCGGATGTTTGACATAGCGGATGTTTGCAGCAGATCCATCTTATTTTTAAAATAAAAGAAAATTAGAACCGTTTTGTGAAGTGGTCTAATGCAATTGGATTGGCCTAATGCATTGAGGTCGTATTGAGAGAGATTGTAGTTTTTAGGTTGTCCAACAAAATGAAAAAGCACCTTCGGACCCAGTTTTCTCAAATTTGTTTACAGGTGGCTAAAACGTTTCTATCGTATAAGGGGCTTGAAATTTTTTCCGTCGAAAGTTTTTTTGTTTCGATGTGTTTATCGACGTTTGCCAACTGTCTGTTGGCTATGTTTGATTATTTTTGTACGAGAGAAAGATCAGCACTTGTGAGCTCTTCAACTGTCCTGTTGTCCTGTTTTTTTTTCTGAACTTTGACTTTTTGTATCAAATCAACGCGCGTATCAGCAGCGCGTATCACTATGGGCCATGGATTGATGTTTTCATTAATTAAATATATTTTTTATCGTCTGCTTAATTTGATAGATTGTTTTTGGATAGATAGATTTGAGTTTTACTGTGTTGTGTGTGTTTAGCTACTATCAACTACGAGGCGGATAAGAAACACGAGAATGACATGAAAAGAGTGAAGGCAGAACTGGCCGGACAGGCACAGGTGAGTGCCAAACAACCAGAAATAATCATGTGTAGATTTAACATGTTTTTAAGTGATGAGAAAAAAAGTTATCGCTCAATTTTGCTTGCATGTTGTCGCTAGATTTCGTTTTTCAATTGATGATGAAAAGGCAATCGTGATGATGAACAGGGGCGGATTTAGGGGGGGGGGGGTTCGGACGCCCTTCTCTTACGGATTCGACCCCCTACCGACCCAAAGGGTCCCCCCTTTGGTACTTTTTAAGAAATCCATTTTTGGCCGACCGACCCTAAAATTTTTCTAAAGGCGCCTTTGGCGCCAATATATACCAATTTTGATGGGGGAGCGCGCGCCGAAAAAATGCAAGTTTTTGGTCAAAGTTTTCGAAAAAGTGCCTAAAAACGCCTTTTTTGGACTGTTTTTTCAAAATTTTGCCTGCGGCGCTGAAAATTTGGCCGAAACAGGGACTAAACCGTGCTTAGGGAGAGCTCAAAAAATCAATTCGGTCGACCTAAAAAAAAGGTCGACAAAATTTTCGAATTTTTTTAAAAATTCGCCCTCCCTCGAGAAAATCCTAGATCCGCCCCCAGGCTGCTCAAACTGGTCACTTTAACTGACCTGGTCACTTTTTGGTCACTTATTTTTACTAGGTCACTTTTTGTTGAAACTGTTGTGTATATCAAGGGAATCCTAACAATTGTCGAGAGTTTTTCCAGATAAGATCATGGGACGTTGCACGTTCAATCAGAAACTTCAATAAGAGTTCACCTGGGCGCTTGAAAATTGAAAATTTGTCAACTTTTTTTTAGGTCGACCGAATTGATTTTTCGAGCTCTCCCTAAGCACGGTTTGGTCACTGTTTTGGCCAAATTTTCTGCGCCGCAAGCAAACTTTGAAAAAACAGTCCAAAAATGGTAGGTCATTTTTTCTCTGACCGATTTGAGCAGCCTGTACGCCCCTGATGATGAATAAGGAATTTTAGTCACAATATAAAGCAAAGAAACTTAGTCTTGGAAATTACAATATTTAGTCAATGTGAAACACAAATTAAAATATACAGCAAAAGATATAGTTTTTCAAGGCTAGTGTTTTAAAATGTTTTTTTTTCCTCGTGTTTTTTGAGTTTTTGTGCTCAATTTTCAAAATTCGGTTTGTGAATTTTAGCTGACTTTCTTTGTTTAAACTGGAGTGAATAATCGAAAAAATACAAGAAAAAAAAACGAACAAACAGGCTTTCTTTTGCATTAATTGCGTTGCTCTTTTGTTAGGTTGAGAGGGAGAATCACGACCTGAGAATGGAGAAGACGAGGGAGGAGGCGAAACAGTTTAGGGAGACGGTGCTGGAGGCAGTCAGCCAGGCGGGCTCAATGCTGGGACAGGGGGCTCAGGCACTCCTCACAGACTGGCACAAACTATCCAGAACTGTAAGGACACTTGTCGTTAATGAGTTAAAAGGGTCAATAAGTTTTGGTTAAGGTGTGGTTTTAGAAATAGGGTGTATGTACTTCCATCGCATGTATGGGCAGATAGATTTTTTTACCAGGGATTTATGGATTTGTGGCGTTCAATTAGAACATCTGGCTTCAAACTAAATTAAACTAAACATTGAATTCATTTTTTGACATGTGTCTGATATTATGTTGGCCTGATTACGAGGATGCTTTAGTTGGCGAGACGGTAACCTCTAATGCTTTATTCCTATAACTTAACTTGCTTTATTTCGATTACATTTTCTAAGTGCAGTATTTAAGTAAAATGTTTGATTCTGATTGGCAGAATTTTCCAATTTTTAAACAAAATAACAATCATCCCGTACAATCAAATAAGTTTCTCTATTTTTCTAGGTGGGAGCACTGTCAGTGTTAGCAGTGGGAGTCTACTCTGCCAAGAGAGGCACATCAGTGCTAGCCAGAGTGGTGGAAGCCAGAGTGGGCAAACCCAGTCTGGTCAGGGAGACATCCAGACTCACTCCAGCACAGTTCATTCAACACCCCATCAAGGTCAGAAAGCTCTTTTCTTCTCCCCCACCCATCTGCAAGTTGGAACTGTAAACTATTTAATCACTATTTCCTATTGTAACATTACATTGGCATCCGGTTTAAAATTTTACATTGGCATCCAAGCTAATAAGGCTATTCGAAAAACATTTGGTCTTCATCCCTAAAAGAGCCAGTCAGATATATCAATAGCCTTTTGTGCTTGAAAATTTTCTGTTTAAATGTTTGTATGAACGATACAGATCTAAAAAAAAGAGAGAATTTTTAACCTATAGTATAGTTGTCCTGTAATGTGGGAACTGGACTTCTCGCAAATGTTTAAGAATTGCATCGTCTGAATTACCGGTGAATTCAGAAATTTTGAGCATGTTTGCATTTACAATACCCGTTTTTTTTTCGCAATTGGTTTTTTGTGCTGGGTGTAATTTTACCAACGCCATTGTTGTATAATTTCCATTTTTTTCTTACTAGGAAGTTACTTTAAAGGTGGGGAGGAACTTTGTATTCGACTTTTTCGACTTCTTCTTTTTCACACAAAATCAAGTACCAAAAGTGAATGTCAGATGGGTTCGAGTGATATATCATATTGAAGCCCTTTCAACCGTGATTGGAGCAATAACGAATAGTTTCGATAAATTTTTCTCAGTGTCTTGAAAAACCGGCCTGAAAGATAAGATGTGTCCATTTTTACAAACACTAAAACAAGCGAGTAGACGGAGAAAATCATTTTATTAAATAAATATCAACTCTATAGCCTAAACAATGATCAATACAATATCGAACTTTAGCGAGCGTTAGTGTAATAGAAGGGCTATTTTTTCTATCCTAAGTTAAAAATATTGGTGCCACTTTTGTTTTTTTTTTGTTTCAAAAGTTTTTTTTGTTTCAACCAACATAAAAATAACAAGAACTCGATTTCAGAAATTTTCTAACTTAGTATATCTCGCAATTTTTTGAAATGCATAATTTATACATAATGTGGCTTCATGGTTTTCAATTTATCACATGTAAAGTTAGTGTGGATTCATTCAGTTTGTTATATTGCAAATTAATATTTGCAAAATTGCGTCTATTTGTATTTGATTCCACTTTTGCTGCATAGGATTGGCTATTTATTACCATTTGTAGCTGCTTCATTTGTAGCTAGTGTTTGCCGGTTGTTAAGTGTTCGTGGCCGAGAGGGCAGGGCGGGAGACTCCTATTCTCGAGGTCGAATGTCCGAAGCCAATTGGTATTAAAGTTTTACTAAATCGAGGGCTTTTTCTTTTGTTTTTGTTATTTCACTTTATAGCTGTTTTTGTGTCGTGTTCTCGCTAGTGTTTACTAAGCGAAACTTCGAATCTGTTTTAAAGATAATTCTCGAAAATGAAAAAGAATTTGACAAAAATTTTAAAAAAATAGCTAGTTTTGGTTTTTGTTATGAACTCTGTAACTATAACGTTAGTGAACTGGAGCCATTAGTTATTTATTTGAGCTTTAAATTCAAAAATTTCTTTTCCAACAAAATCTTAAATGTAAGTTTTGAGATAAATTGAGACAAGCTTACGAAAATTTAGGTAGAACTAGTATTTAGACATTTTTGCTGTATGTTTTTCGATCTGTTGGATAGCGCACCATACTTTGTTTGCGATGTATCACAAGTGGTGCGAAGCTCTACTTCGCTGTTGTGTTCACTGAGAAATCAGTAATTTATCGTTTAAAGAGGCTTCGAGTGGTCAGGCGACCGAATCGCTGATCTTCATGAAACTGACAGCCGCATTAAGTAAAATTTTGAATCCATTGAAAATAATCTGATTAAGAGTAATGAACGTAGTGAGTACTCTTATATAGGTCTTGCTGATTTTTTTTTTTAGGAAAAAGCCTGGAAATTTGTTCACGCTCAATTTCGCTGTTTGACTTGTATTTTCTTTTTAAGTTCAGTGCATTTCTTTTGTTAAATTTTTCTTTAATTTCAATTGAGCAAAATCCCGTAGACAGTTCTCAGGACGAAAAAATCGAGGAAATACACGCTGACGTGGAAATTTAAGCGGCAGGAACAATGACGCAGTTAATCCAAGACGCTTCTTCTGCTGTGGATCAGTTTTTCAAATGTTAAGAGACTGTCCAGACAAAGACAATACCCCACAAGGAACGGATAAGTCACAGGGTTTAGGGATAAGTTAAGTTTTGAAAGCCGAAGATTTGGAAGGTGCATAAATTGTTTAAATGACAAGCTCTAGCTTGGCAGGTATTTCTGAACCGGAAGCTGTAGAACCGCATGAAGTCTTCGTTTGCTCTGAAAATCTCAATGACTTAAGCCCTCTTTTAAGTGAGACCCTGAATTTTGCAATATTAGACAGCGCGCGCTCCTCACTAGTGTGTGTAGAAGCTTGTTTCTATTGCTTCTCAGAGTCTATGCACAGTGACGAGCTAATTAGAGTCAAAGACTTCAATGGAGATCGAATTCTTAAGTTCGGATCTGTGCTCAATTCGATAAAACGAGTTGAAATTCCGTGTTTCATCTTGAACAAACAATATACTGTTTCAACAGATGTCGTTAAGTCAGAAACTCCACTTCTACTTGGTAAACCAACGACGAGAAGTGAAAGTGAAGTTGCGCCGAACGTTTTCCTAGTCGACAATAATGGGGAATTGTCGAATATGGAGTTGCAGGACATGTGTGAATTTTTGGACATAACAGACCTTAAAACAGCGGTACAAAGTCCGTGGAGTAATGGAGTATGTGAGCGTAATCATGCTGTGGTTGATGAGGTAGTACGTAAAATTTTGGATTCAGTACCTGTACCCTAGTAAGAGCGTTAGCTTGGACCTGCTATGCTAAAAACTCGATGGCAATAACAGGCGGATTAAATGCGTTCCAACTGGTTTTTGGACCTAACCCATGCATTCCGGGTGTCTTACTTCACGAGTTAACTGCTCTCGAACCAGTTACAACGAGCAAAGTTTTAGCGAACCACATAAACTCCTTGAGCAACATTAGCGCCTTACAACCACATAACTCCCTGTTTTTCTGTAGAATGAAACATCAGAAAATATTCGGAGACACTGCGGAGTCAGGTAAGAAAATAGGTTTTGCCATTGAAAACGAAGACCTCGTATTTTTCAAACGAAAGGAGAAAGACTGCTGGAAAGGACCTGGCAAAGTTGTTGCTAAAGATGGCAAGGTTGTATTAATCAAAGAAGGAAATAGTGTTTTTAGAGTGCACGAAACCAGAGTGGTTTCTCAAACCAGAGTGGTTTCTCCAAAACCAGAAGGTTACACGTTTTCAGAGTCTGTCAGTTGTTGAAATTCAGTGCATGTTAATAAGAACACAAAAGACTCGCGGACAAGTGACTTCGACGAGCCCCAACAGTTAGCTGTTTTCGACGCTGACCTTCTAGAATCGTGCGAGAACGCGTCTACAGAACAGAGTTTGGAAGAACTTCCACTTGAGACTAAAGCAGAAGTTGATTCGGGAACCATTGGATTTGAAGTTGAAAATATACGGAAAAGTTTTGGTTTACCCAAGAAAAATCAAATTGTTCAATACAATGAAAAAGAAAAAACAAACGAACGATTTTGGATGACAGCAAAAGTTAAAATAGAGGTGGAAAAAAGCCCGGAAAACACAAAAGTTGGTTAAATGTCGAAGATTCTGCAGGAAAAACAACGTGTATTGATTGGAGCCAGTAAGAAGATTGGAGACCTAAGCATGAAACCACTGACGTGTCGTTGAACCAGGTGATAAGTGAATTTAACTTCTCAGAAATGAACAACACAGTAAATTTAGACCAAATAAAAAGTCAAGACTGAAAGAGCTGAAAAGTTAGGATAGCTTTAATGTTCATAATAAAGCACCGTTTGTGGCCAAACATACATAACCGCTAGATGGATAAATACCGTGAAAACAGTTCACGTTGGTCCTCTTCTCATGTCTAGGCTAGTGTTTTGTGGCTTTAAAAAGAAATTGAAAAGCCACAATCCGATTCTCCAACTGCTAGTAAGGACTCTTTCTGGTCGTTACTGACATTATCTGCCACGACAAAATGGGACTCACAGTCGTTGGATGTCAAAGCAGCTTTTTTTGCAAGGAAGTGATATTGCACGAGACATTTATATTTTGCCGTTTAAAGTTGCAGAAAAAGAAAGTTATCGTTAAAAGCTGAGAAAGGGGGTGTACGGTTTGTCAGACGGGTCTAGAAACTGGTTTTTACCCTGAAAGATGAGTTGCAGGCGAGCGGTTGTGAATTGTCTACGATTGGTCCGGCTGTTTTCAGATGCGTACAAAACGGTTTCCTCACAGGACTTCTTTCGGTTCTTGTTGACGATACTTTTTGAAGCAGTACCCAAAATTTTGAAAGAAACGTTGTTCAGACAATACGGAACAAGTTTTTGATTAGCACGGAAGACTCTCAAGTTTTCAAGTACCTCGGAGTTTACGTTGAAGTGCAAGAAAATGGTATTAAACACCACCAAGAAAATTATATCCAAAAACTTAAGGCAGTTAATCTACCGTATGAACGATGTAAATAGGCCGGCAGTGATCTCACGTCGAAGAAAAATTACCTTGTTGAGGCATCACGTTGGTAGACTAAACTTTCTCGCTCAACAATCAGGCTGGATATAGCGTTCGACGCGTTAGAGTTTACGATTTCCGTCAACAACGCCAGAGTCGACATTTTCAAGAAAGTAGACAAACTTATTGCCAAAGCTAAACAATATTCTTATTTCGTTTTCTATCCTGATCTCGGTGGTATCGACAAATTTTCATTAGCTGTGTCTAGTGATGCTTCGCACGCCAATTTATCGGATGGGTTTTCGAGCGCTTTCAAGTTTTCTATCTTGATAATAGGGCAGAATCGAAAAAGCTGCCTCCTAGCCTGGAAATCGGGCAAAATACAACGAGTCGTGAAAAGTACCCTAGAAGCCGAAGCGTTGGCTTTGGGAGATGCCTTGGATGTGCTTTCTTTTTGAAGAGTTTTATTGAAGAACTTAAGGAATCGATAATAGAAATTACAGCGTTCGTGGACAACAAATCGCTACATGACAACCTAATTTCAACAAAAAGTGTGAGTGAAAAATAGCTTAATCGACCTGGCTGCAATAAAAACAATGTTGAAAAATAAAGAGTTGAAATCCATACGGTGGGTTAGTCACAAGCTGCAACTCGGTGACTTTTTCATTAAAGAGTTTTATAGAAGAACTTACGGAATCGTTGATAGAAGTTACAGCATTCGTGGACAACAAATTGCTGCATGACAACCTAATTTCAACAAAAAGTGTGAGTGAGAAATGCCTGAGAATCGACCTCGCTGCAATGAACACAATGTTGAAAAATAAAGAGTTGAAATCCATACGGTGGGTTATCCACAAGCTGCAATTCGCTGATTTTTTCTTTGAAAATGGCGTTAACTTATGTATGTTTCGACGAATAGTTGAATCAGGATGATTACCTGACTTAATCAACGTTTTTACACCTAATCATTTTGTTCATTAAACAAATCACACGTCTCACTGAAAATTTGTTCAACTTAACTGTCTGTTGGTTTGTGTACTTTGACATATTCATTTTGCATGAGCTGAACGCGTTGTTAACACCCTGCTAATATTTACAATTGCGTGCAGTTTATTTTACTCACTTTACTATAATTTCTAGCTATAGATTTCTATCTATATAGCTTTGATTTCTATCTATCAGTTTGGTGCCGCTTTATCTTATTTGCAATTGATATTTTAATCGGTAACTTCCCAAACGGCATAATTCCCAAATGGCATAAAAGTGAATTTTTTTCCCAAATGGCATAAATTTTAAGTTTTCATTGTAATTTAAGCGTTTTCTATCAATTTCTAATACTAACATTTTGGCAGGAACGAAAGCATGTGGACAAGACTTGGAACTAATTGCTTCCAAACAAATGCTACGCAACAAATTTGTGAAAAAATTGACCACAAGCAGCTCATTAATAACCGCAAGCATATGCTTCTTGCTTTTGATAAAAAAATTACTCTACAACTTTTTCAAGATAGAATTTCAACCAACATTTAAATTGACAACTTGACTTATTTTCTCACATTGTTCACGAAAAAATTGTTCTCGATGTTTTCAAGGCAACTGTTGCATGAAGTTTATGCCATTTGAGAATTTTTTTACTTTTAGGCTATTTGGGAATTATGTCTTTTGAGAGGTAATCTTTTAATCATTCCCTTGTTTTCCAAACTCCACTATCGAACAGCAAAATTTGTGAAAACGTGATCGACTTCTAATTTCGAAAATGGAAATTAGTTATCAGATTTCCTAGCGAAATATAAGTTTTACCTATTGATCCAGTTTTCTCAAATTAGATTAATTTCAAAAAAGTGTCCATCATAATTTTTTCTGCAAATTCAAAGATCTTAACGGCCATCTTTTTTTTCTTCGAAATTCAAAAGTTGAAAATTTATGAAAAAAGTTGTTTTTTTTTGCAGTTTCCTTGCGTGCATTACTCTTTTCCAGCTGTCAGTTGGCTATGTTTAAACAATTAAAAATAGCTAGCTTTTTAAGACAACATTTTGGCAATGAAGTGGATGATTATTTTAGTTAAACTGAAAACCCTTCAGGTTTTAGTGACCGATATGTTTTCGCAGCTAAGGTCTTTGCCTTTGTGGAGTTCAAATAGTGTGTTGTATATTTCAGAGTCTGCAAGTGGTGGCTAGACCTAAACACGACGTCCTCAAGGGAATCATTCTAGATGTGAGTTTCTATTTGGCTTAAATAATTTTAAGCAATAAAACTATTATTGTTGTTAGTGAGTGGAAACTATCTTGTATAGCTTGAGCAAGTTTAAAATCTGCAAATAGATCAAAACCAAACTGGGCGAAAAAAATTCTTACATTGTGTTTCAAACCCGAGAATAATTATTGAAGTAATTTTCGCGGTTGTTTTGCAGAACTGGTATTGTTCTATAGTTTACGCTATTGGGAAGCGGTTTTGAACTGGCAGTCTCAGTTTCTCAATCGAAAGGTCGTCGGGTCGAGGCCCACCATGATCCGTGTTCATTGCTTGACTGTTACGAGGCGAAATTCCTCAGCCCAGAAAACAAACCAAAAAATGCATGTAATTCACTATCAGGGGCACAACAGCAATGGTTTGCTGTAAAGAGCTAACCAGCTCGTATGTTTTTTTGCTTTCATTGGTAATTTGTCTTTGCTTAAATGTTTTTGCGATTCGGAGTGGATCTATGAAAGGCTATTCAGCCTGTGTAATCACTTTTTTCCCCACATTCCAGGCTGACATTCCTAAACTGTTTTTTTTTTCCTATTTAGCCTAAATTGGAGAGTCGTTTGCGTGACATTGCAATTGCGACTAAGAACACTAAGTTGAACGATGGTTACTACAGGAACATCCTTCTACATGGCCCGCCTGGATCAGGAAAGACCATGTTCGCAAAGGTACACAGAACTTCATTTATATTGCTCATTTGCAATATGCCAATAGATAAAACAACCTATGAGAATTGTTTCTCACAAACACCGGGACGATTGGTATGAAGTAATTGCTTAGTAAATTTGAAGTAATGAAAGTAATAAGTAAATTTAACTTAGAATGCAAAAATTGCATAATAACAATACTTTGGGCCTTTTTATATGCAGATTAACTTCTCATTTATATTATAGAAGATGACATGGGTTTTTGTTTTAATTTTCGTCACCACGATATCATATTAATAATAAAAACAACAAATTGTTTTCAGGCTTATAATCAGGAAAATACAAAGTTTGGTACAATTAATAACCCAGTCTTAAGCAAGAGAGAACTTCATTAGACCAACTGGTCCGTTTTTAAAGTTCGTTTTGAATATTTTTGAATACTGTCGTTTTTGGCGTGCAGAGTCTGGCATATCACTCTGGTCTGCACTATGCCATCCTGACAGGGGGAGACATATCCCCAATGGGGGCTCAGGGGGTCACTGCAGTTCACAAGGTGTTCGACTGGGCCAACACATCGCCCAAAGGGTTAACAACTGTTTAATTTTATAGCGCACAAAAGAAAGGATGTCTTGGAAATGCACAATTAAAACTATATTTTACAAATTCCACTTTTCTACATTTGCAATTTCACTACCCCCATCACACCCACAGTGCAACTTTTCTTTACTAATTTTGCATGCTAATATGACTAATTGAGAGATATAAGATTTTAAGATGCGAAAAAAAATACATTCGTAATAGTTGGTTTTTTCATCATGCAAACAGTTTCACTACCTTACGACAACGATAAGTAATTTTCATAAATTCGATTTTCAAATAGGTGAGAGTGAGTAGAAAAGAAGCCAAAAAGTGTTGTTATGCATTAAAATATTTATTTGAGTTTCATTGCCAAAGAGTGAAAATTGTAATAAAATCAATTCGGCATCAAGACTTAATTTCAACTCTTTTCACTAAATTTAATGTGTTTAATGATATTTAACAGAAAAAATATCGTTTTTCAAATCGTTTTTATTAAGAATGGGTACGGATGAGAATTGAAAATGCGGATTATGAAATATTGAGTATAATTGTAAGCGAAGTCCATTGTTGCGCGAATTTTAAAGTTCAAGTTTATAAATTCAACATAATATAGCATGTCTACGCATTGTCCGTTTCTCTTATTTCCCCACATTCCAGACTGAGTAATTATGCTCAGCGAAGCTTTTTTCTACGACTCAAGGTTCTTTTTTGGGTCTAGAACTTTCACGTGGTAAAATAAAAGACAATGCCAAAACATCCCATTTGTAAATTTCAATAGCAAAGACTAATTTGTACTGTATGTGATTGCAGAGTGCTGTTGTTTGTGGACGAAGCAGATGCCTTCCTGAGGAAGAGGAGTGTTGGGGGAGGGGAAGCTATCTCGGAGGACCTCAGGAGCACACTCAATGCATTCCTATTCAGAACAGGCGAACAGAGTAAGAGGTTAGTCGAATAAACGGTGAAACTTGGTTAAAAGATGTGAAGATATGGCTTTTTTCCGGGGAATCCCTCATGCGCGCAGGACTGTATGCGCAAAAGTTTTGTCAATCAGAGCTCAGTACTCAAAAATTATTTTTTTTAAAAATAAGCGATAATTTCAGTCAGTTTTGCACAGTTTAAAAGGCCTTTTTCATTTTTAATTTTTCTTTTTGTCTATCGCAAGTTTTGCGAAGCTGTGCTTCGCTTGTGTTGAAAAAAAGTGAACAATAAGATTTAATAAAAGCTTGAAGAGGTTGAATTTGAGTCACTAGTTTGAGTTAACTAATGAAAATAACATTGCTAGTTCTCATTGCTAGAGCGTATGGCGCCATTAGTCAGCCCAGAAAATAACCAAAAAAGATGCATGCATCTCTTATACTGGGATGTAACAGCGGTTTTCGGTAAAGTTGATCAGCTCGTTTGTTGGTCCTTCTTTTTGGGAATAAATGGTCTTTATCTTAATCGAAAGTAGAGTTGTATTTACATGACTGTCAATTTTTTTTTTCAAAATCAGTCCTCAACCGGGATAATCAGAAAGTTCTGAATATCAATGTGTATCTTGAGTGTTCTGTTATTAGGATGATGCTGGTGTTGGCCAGTAACCAGCCGGAACAGCTGGATTGGGCCATGAATGACAGATTAGACGAAATGGTCCACTTCGACCTTCCAGGGCTAGAGGAGAGAGAACGATTGGTAAGACAGTTTGAAATTCTTAAAAGCATTTAATAGTGCATAATTTAAGTGTTTACCTGTGATAGAATTCAATACATTGTCAATCAAAAGCAAAAAAAAAAATTTTGATCTGTATCTAAAAAAGGCAAACTTCTCTGTGTTTAATTTTTGTGTTTAATGTGTTTGATCCGCATAATTAATGCACAGCGTAGTTTTTATAATAAGTGGTTTTTGTTTATTATTTATTGTTGCTATTCGAGACCACAAGGCAAATGGATGGTGTGGATGTTGATTTGGTTCTAGCCTATTAGTTGGAACTCTCGCAGTACGCTACAAACTCAGCCAATCAAAATCGAGTATTTTACTCGCAGCACTCTACAAACTCAGCCAATCAAAATCGAGTATTTTACTCGCATTACTCTACAAACTCAGCTAATCAAAATTGAGTATTTTACTCGCAGTACTCTACTATTTCAATCGAAATTTTACTGTTCGACTTGAAGGGGGTCCGGGAAGGGGGTGTAGCGACTTGCTCTAAAAGTGACAATATGTTTAGGTGCGGAACTACTTCGACTTGTTCGTCCTCCGAGCCAGTGAACGTGGCTGGCGACAGTACTTCTGGGATCTAATTAGACTAAAGAGACCAAGGACTCTCTCTATCTCTCCCAGTCTAGACTTCAATGCCAAGTGCAAAGAGGTGGCTGAGAAGACAGAAGGTCTGTCGGCCAGAGAGATATCCAAGTTAGCTGTATCGTGGCAGGTAAAAATTTATGTTACTATACATTATGTCTTAGTTACTTTCTATTACTTATGACAGTTGTTACTTATAATCACTGAATAAATTATTCACTTTCGGAGTTACAATTATACTCAAAATGGTTGATCACTGCTTATTTTATCTACACGAAACAAAACAATGCTATCTGGGTGAACCAGCCTTTAACTGAAAGCGGATGCCCAAAACCCCGTTTCTTACAAGTTTCCTGCGATGTCGCAAAGTCAATTGGGTTCGATTATGATTTTTTTAAATATCTGTCCCGATAAAGACATAGAGCCGTGCCTGTCTAAAGTATTTTTTAATGCATGTTCTATTTAAGCAAGAAAGCTCAATGAGTCTCTTAATTTGTTTGGGTGCTTTTAGCTGTTAAAGAGCTCGGACATTCGATTTGGCCAATCTAAAACACGTTCCCGCAGAAAATTTTCCCACCTACCTCGCTCACAGAAGTTGATTATGATTCATCAGCGTGATAGATCAGCTGAACTCGTTATCTAACCTTTCCAAGAGTTTTGAAGAAAGAAAGAAAGAAAGAATTTATTTCTTCAGACATACAAATACATTTATAAAAAAAATCAAACAAATTAAGCAATTAAATTTTGGTAAACGTACGTATTATCTGAAGAGAATAGACTAAAGGCAAATTAGATGCCCACACTAAATGTATACCCAGTATATACTGACTGAGACATAGAACGTTAATGTGTAAGTATAGATAGTTATTTAAGCAGCAAGTATTCTTGTAAAGTATTTGGAAAATTTTATGTTTTTACAAAAATGGCGTTTTCTCGAAAACCAGCAATTTCTGGAAGGTCTTATTTTTTTGGGTAGAATCAGAGTTTTTAGCTGCCTTGATTTAATATGTCGTTTATACTCGTGGATAAATAAATGTTTCTTCTTCTACAGGCTAGTGCATACGCCAGTGAAGATGGAGTGCTGACTGAGTCGATAGTAGACGAGAGAGTGAGAGATGCAGTTAACCAGAGGAGGAAGAAGAACCAGTGGGAGACAGAGGCTGACAGGGCCAAGATGAGACACGTACACCAGCATCACGAGGAACAGCAACATCACGGAGATGCCACGATATTGAACTGAAACTTGAGAGATGGAGTTCCTTCGAAATACCCGACATCGGGAACTTTATCAACGGGATCCTTAACATCATCAGGAACCACAACGTCGGCAGGAAAACAACATCACGAAGATGCCACGATTTTACAACCGAAGCCACTAAACATCGTACACTCATCATTCGAACATCATGAGAAACAACAAATGAATGCGCCTGTTTTGAACTAACACTAAAAAGAACGAACGGCAATATGATACAAGCAGACATAATGAAGAAGCTAGGCATAATCATCATGGAGATAAAAACGACATAGAACTGAAACTGAAAGAATCGGTATATCATTGAATACCAGCATTACGAGAAACAATTGTAAACGCTCGGGATAGTTGGATAACGAAGGTTAGGTGCTCTAAATTAACCTACAACGATCAGCCATCGAGACTTAAAAATACCAAAAAGATGGATTTGTATGTATGATATTGAATTGATCAAGTTATTCACAATGACAGAAAAATTACGATTTTGAGGACATGCTAATACTACCGGGAACATGGACGAAAAAAAACAAAGCTTCCGAAATGAAAACATCAAACAAAAAAGGATGCGCAACAAACGAGAGCAATACTAAATGAAAATGATTTAAGATGAAATAATCGGATTGTATTCTGGAATTTATTGCTAATTTATTGTTTCAACTGGACTGAAAGTTACTGCAAATTATATATTTGAAACTGAAATGGAAAAGCTGCCTTTTCTTTTTTCTCAGCTGGCTAAATGCATATATGTTACTGCATTACGTTGAATTCAAAAGAAAAGCTTAATATTTATCATGCAATTAATGATGTGTAGTCCAAAGAAAAAACAGCAGTGCTCTATTTTTCTGTGACCGGTGATTTTTGAACAACCGGTTTGATTTGATTTCGATTGAATGATCTTGAATGTTGAAAACGTTGAATTTGATGCTTTTGTAGTTGGCTACAAATTTATTGGAGAGCGTCTGAAAGCTACAAATTGAGTCACCAACTTGAAATTCTTAAACACTGTCATTTTTTATGCATTCGATAATTTGATTCAATTTTTTTCAGGAGAAATAAATTCTTTCTTTCTTTCGTTCGCATTTTCTTTCCTTTCTAGAGCTTTATTTTTTTTTGCTCTGAAAAAAATTGTGGCAAATTTGTCGAATAAAGTGACCCTGAAGTTAATCAAACATGCTTGTCTGAAAAAAAATTTAAATCGTCTGCTTTGCTCCCTTTTCTGTTCTTAATGCAAAATCTCTAAGCTTCAAAGCTTCGTTCTAATTTCATTTCGAATTAGTTTAAGTTTCAAAGTTAGAATTAATTCGAAGTATTCAGACGTTGTCCTTCAATTTTGTTATCAACTATAGGTAACTGCAAACTCTAACTCACTTCGCTCAGTTTTTGATAATATGTTCATAAGTAATTACCTATTTCGCCTATTTTTTGGCTAGATTTTATAAACAAGCGCTTTTCAAAATCTGGACTGTAGGTTTGCAGTTAACAGAATAAATGCGAAATTTGTATTCTATGATGATCTGTTACTTCAAGTAATTTGATGGCGTTTTAACCTTTAAAATAATTGAGTTTTGAACGCCGCGTTTTTATAAACCACAAAAAATAAGTCTTGAGCTAAAGTATGGTAGTTCTATTAGCGCAAAACTATTGAAACCTGAAATTTTATAAGTTTTTTTTGAATATGTGCACTAAACCGGGAAAAGTTCAGACAAAATTTGCAAAGAGTTTTACCAGAGTTGATATATATATATTTTTAAGTACCAATGAACGTAGTGAAGACGCGTATATAGAATATTATTATTTTTTCTATTTCTTCAGTAAAAAATTAAGAACGCTCATTTTTTTTCAAAACTTAATTTGAGTTTCATTTGCTTAATGGAAGACAAATGACGCTCTCAAACTACTAAGTGTAAATGCCGCGAGAAAACAAGAATGACATTGTTGTCGGAAGTGGATGCCAAGATGAATGTAGTTCCGACTCTTAATAGGTCGTGATGAATTTTTTTGGGAAATCTTTAAATTAGTGCACGTTAAACTTCGTTTTTTTTCGAGATTTGCCCTTGATTTTGAGTTTTTCAAGTTCAGTTCATCTTTTTGATAAGAAGTAATTTTCTCCACTATCGAATAGCGAAAGTGTAAGGGCCACAAAAAACGTGATCAACTTCTAATTTCGAAAGTGGAATTTAATCAGTTTTTCAAATGTATCAATCATAATGTAGTCTAGAAATTCAAAGAGATTTAAGGCCACATAAGTTTTGTTTGGATTTTCTAAATTTGATGTTTTTTCAGAAAAACAAGTCAGTGATTTTTCTGTTTTTTCATTGACTCTTTTGCAACTGTCTGCTGGCTATGTTTATATGTTCGGGCCGAAACTTTTTTTCGTTACCAGCTTTCCGTTCCAGGTACATATTGTTTTCAGCTTTCTATGAAAATTGAAAAACTAAAGATATCAGTTTTTTCTAGTTTAATATATTTTTTGTCTATAGCGAGTATTGCGAAGCTGTGCATCGGCTGTTGAAAAGGGTGAGTCTTTTTTAATTAATAAAAATTTTTTGTGTCTCTCGCGAGTTTCGCGAAGCTGTGCTGCGCCTCTGTCTTGAAAAGTATGAACAAGAAGATATTCGGGAATTTCGAAGAATTAATGAGACAAAATTCGAATTATCTTGGTATTAAATTTATTCGTCTGTTTGGCCTTGTTCTTGGGAATTTTTTTTTAATCAGAAACTTGATCGAAGTTAAAGTTGTTTCTATTACAAGTCTTTTGTTTCTGTTTCTTTGAGTCCATTGCCTCTTTTCTTAGTGGTTATTTTTTCCTCTAAGATTTCTTACTTGTAAAAATATCCTATCGTTCCAGCTTAGCTTACTCTAATTGAGCTAGTTTTGGGCAGTAAAGGTTAATGCTAGGATTGTTTTGAAATTTAGAGAGCTTCAACTTGACATTTTTTTCAAATGAAAAAAATGCGAGTAATGTCTATAAAGTTGTTTGAAACTTCAGATAGCCAAAAACAACGTTTTTACTGAAATGTAGCTAAGTTAGGCGCTCGTTTTGAGTTAGCTTGGTCTAAGTTTGATCAGTTAAACTTTTTTATTTTTTGATTTCAAAGACGTAAAAGACTGATTATTTGGAGAGTCGTTGTTTTAGACACTTAATTAAACAAGATATTGAGCCCAATATGTCTTAGGTAAAAAAATTGTTACCGGTTTCTGCCAAATACTCTTTGATAAACACAGGTATTATGAAAATATATGGAATCGGGTTTTTTTTTGTTTTTCTGCGACCTTTTGGAAAACTTTAGTTTTTCTCATAAACCACTCTACCGATTTTGAAATGAGTGGTACCAATGGGAATTCTGGCCACAAAAAGCTATGACCCTCGGAAAAGTCAAATATTCGAACTTTTGACTGTTTTTTGAAACTTTTTGATTTTTCTCAAAAAAATATCCTCCCGAAGCTGAGATATTGGTTTCATTGTTAACAACGGGTCGTGATAAACTCCCCTGCATGAGCGGTTTGCCCAAAAAAGTTTTTCTAATGAAAAGCAAGTCCCATTTAATATAATTCTACGAAGCTTGACCAATTTTTAAAAATCACTTGATGACTAACAATTTTGATTGTTTTTGCTAATAGACAAACTTATTTAAAATTTTCTTGACATGAAACAGTCTACCGCAACAATTTGTGGCTATTTTCGCGAAATTTTGCTTATAACAAAATTAAAACAAGTTTTTTCGCCGGTATTTTTTTGGAAAAAATTTTCATATTAGTTTGTTTGGAATTTTTTCATAGCAAAGTTTTAATCTTATTCCTCGTGATTTTGTGAGATTTTTTACTGCTACTCGATTCAAATTGATGACACTTTGAGTTTTCGACCAAAAAAATGAAACTTTTTTGAAGAGTTTCTGCTTTCAAAAAAATCAACGCGTGGAATTTTTAGGACCATTTCTGCCAGTTTTGTGCGTAGTTACTGCTTGGTAGTTTTTCATGCTAGCTTAATGCTGGTTGTTGTGTTCCACCACAGCTTTTTGTCAATATGAGTTTCCTTTTGAGACAAACTTTTAAACATTGTGGGCGTTGTTGTTTCGCGTTTTTTCATTCTTTTTCAAGATTCTGTGACTTTCTGTATCGAAGCTCAGCTTCGCCTCTGTGTTACGAAGCTCAGCTTCACCTCTTTTTTATGAAACTTCCATACATCTTCGAAAAAAATGATTCTTATTCAAAACTAGTCAAGCTCATGTTTCATAATCAGTCTTGAGTTATATCCGTTCAAATAACTGCGGACTTGTTTTTTGTACAATTTTTTCATGTAAGCTCCTCTTGTCAGTTGTATTTTTGTTTCGACTGTGAGAAAGCAGCTCATAAATTTGGTACCCCATTTTTTGAATTATACTTTTTTTGAAATTTTTGCATTTAAAAGTTTTCGATTGTCTATATTTTTCCTGGTTTGTGAGATTTATCTTTTGATGTGAAGGGATTACAAAACTCATTTTAGGGATTAAAAAATCCGCAGCTTTTTATAATTTGTAGCTTTACAGCTAAGATTAGCCCTATGTTATTGTATCCTCTCTTTATTTCATCTCCAGTCCGCGTTTGATTGTACTTGGTTTGGCGTAGATTAAAACTCATTATTCAAAAAAATTTTGATTTTCCAAGGGAAGTTCCATAACAATCTTTAGTAATTCAAGTGACAATTCAAAAGTTTTAACTAACAATTCAAAAAATTCCATCAAGTAAATTGATTTTGTAAGGGAAATTCCACAACAATCTCCAGCAATGGGATTTCCTTTTCATTAGAAAAACTTGGTGCTGACAGATTATTACCAATTTTCAATTTTTGTGAATTTACAATTTTTGTGCTAGAGATTGTTGTGGAACTTCCCTTACAAAATCAATTTGCTTGATGAATTTTTTGAATTGTCACCTAAAATCTACGCCAAACCAAGTACAATCAAACGCGTACTGCAGATGAAATAAAGAGAGGGTACAAGAATATAGGGCTACTCTAAGCTGTAAACATTTTTCTAACGAAAAGTGCAAAGTTTTCCTAATGAAAAGCAAGTCCCATTTTATATAATTCTACGAAGTTTGACCGATTTTTAAAAATCACTGGATGACTAACAATTTTGATTGTTTGTGTTAATAGACAAACTTATTAGAAATTTTATCTGGCATGAAACACTCTACCGCAACAATTTGTGGCTATTTTCGCGAAATTTTGTTTACGCATATAGAAAAAGGTCAAGCCTAGCTGCTGAAAGATACAAGCAGCGTAATTAGCGTCTAAGACAGTGAAAATGCTTGTTTTAGTAAATATTGTCATCTCATGGTTTTCCGCCCATTGTCCCAGCTGCGAATTATCTTTTTAAATCTGGTTAAAATTACTCAATTATTGAAAAAATGATACTTAAACTTTAAATGCTATTTCAAACATAACTGGTCCTTTATCATTCGCAAAACCACTAGTCACGCCATTAAACTCATATTTCAATGAAATGGAGAACAGACAATCAAATGAGTTTGATAGGCAAAAAATGAAATGCTAAAATAACCAGCTAATAAGTACATACCATTAACTGTTATATTACAAAGAGCACTTTAGCTTCAAGGTATCATAAATCTGTAGGGTTGAGGTGGGGAAGGAGACCAGCAGCAAAATAAGAGGATTCGAACCTGGACAGAGTCGGATGTTTTTAATGAACTTTTTCGTACACCAGTTAAAATGCGTCCGCTCTACTAGTAAATTTCTTTTTTTTTTCAAAATGACTGGTACTGCTAATGCGACATAATTGGTTTGCGTCACTTAGCAATTATGTAGACTCATAATTGACGCATGTCACTTAAGAAATTTTGTAGACTCAAAGTTATACTAATTCAGTTTTTCCCAGTAGCGTTATCGGTCCTATTTTTGCTTGTGTATGCGAAGTGCAACTTCGTCTCTGTATATTTGTTTGCAGATTCCACAAACTGTTCTGGGTTCCGAAATACAGTTGCGGATTCCGCGAATTCACCTATTTTTGGAGCGATTTTGGGCAGTACATTGTTTTCGGCGTTTG